ATATATATATATATATATATATATATATATATATATATATATATATATATATATATATATATATATATATATATATATATATATATATATACCAACAAATAAAAAGGTAAATAATAATGTGGCTTAACACTTTTAATACTTTTTAAGAACCCGTGGACACCCTGTCCTGGAATAGAATACCTAAAACCACTGGGTGTCAAACTTACATACTGCACCTTTAACACATTGCAATGTCGATCCTTAAACTGTATAAAAGCACGCACATCTCTCTTAATTGGGTGCTCAGCCAAAATCGCAAAAAGTGCAAATTAAATGTAATTATAAATAAATTAAATGATGTAATATTATAGTTTATTTATGTATTTATATATATTTTTTGTAATTTGATCTAAGCTATAGACTAGATGTGAATGTGTATACATGTATTCATGTGTATGTATGTATATATGAACGATTGTGTATGTATACATATGCGTGTATGTATATGTTGGCATATATGCGAGAAGAGATCATGTGATCCGGAAGTGTATAAAAAGGAGCACCTGATTGTGATGAACATTGTCTGATGAAGAGCCGGGTGGCTCGAAACGTTACACGCTCTGTGTCAGCCTTTTTAATTCAATAAATTTGTATTTTTAGAGCCTTGGTGTTGCCGCCTTTGATTTACATTTAATGTCGATGTTCAAACAATATTTTGTGCAGCCTTGGTTTCAGCAACAAAAAAACAAAACAAAAAAAGCTTGAAAAAAATTAAAATAATAAAAAAAAATCACATCTTGGACAGAGTCAGGGTGAGTAAATGTGGGGTGAGCTATCTGTAATGTTGAGCCATCTGTTTAAGTCAGGATATCTCAAAACTTAAACAGAGAAATATTATTAAGCACCATTACATTGACCGTTGCTTTCTAAAATGTAGTTATTAATTTTTTAATAATAACAACCTTGGTAAATGTGATAAACACATCATGTTGCAATGTCTTTAGTTACAGTAACAAGTAAATAATATTTAACTTGAGTCAAATTTGTATCAGTTTTCCATATTCCCCATACCTTTGCTTGAAGCTGTATATTTAAGCACAGCTTTTCACTGCAAACCGCATTACAAAAGGGTGCAAAAGAAATGTTGTGTGCTTACCTCACAGTGAAGTCTGTCTCCTCCCACTGCAGTTTGGCCAGGGGGCTTCCCTCTTTCAAGACCCCGAGCAGTGTGGCTCGTCGGCCGCTGGATTTGTGCAGGCAGGTTCCTCCAGCACGAAGGCCGCTGTCCACCCCTCCGATAAGAGCCATGACAGGCCAGACCTCACAGCACAGGACGCTGAGCTGTGCATCAGAGAGACCCGCCGGGCCCGAGAGGTGGTCTGAGGAGGAACCCACGTCTGCCCAAGCTGAAGCCCTCTCTCTGTTCAGCCCACATTTCTCATCAGACTCCTTACTGGCTTGACCTGCTGGAAGAGGACAGAGGACACACATAAAGATGTTTTTTTAGCATTTTAGGGAGACTGTTCAGCTTTTCTACAAGCTTTTTAATCATTACTTAATTAGCGTACAAATGACTCGATTTCAGCTGTTTACTACTACTACTACTACTACTAATAATAATAATAATAATAAAATAAATAATAATAATGATAAACATAACGCCCAACATATTATTGCCTAAATACATACACAACTAAATTCCTAAATACACACCTAAATTATGACATAAATATCATATGCATAAATACCCAAATATACACAACCTGACAAAAATCTTGTCACCTATGCAAATTTTAGTAACAACAAATAATAATTGACTTCTAGTTAATCATTTGGCATAAGAAGTGGCTAGTATGAAAGGCAAAGGCCTCTAGCTGAGGCTAATTTTACTAAATTAGGACAGTAAGGTCTGACTTTGCTAAGACAAAAGTCTTGTCACTTAACAGGAGTAATGTACAGTATAGAATATAAACTCATGGTGCAGTGGAAAAAGAATTAATATTGTGTATGATTCCCATGACCTTGGAGGACTGCATCTATACATCTCTGCAATCACCCAAATAACTTATTAATAAAGTCATCTGGAATGGCAAAGAAAGTATTTTTGCAGGACTCCCAGAGTTCATCAAGATTCTATAGGTTCATCTTCATTGCCTTCTCCTTCATCTTACCTCAGACATGCTCAATAATGTTCATATCACTGGCTGGCCAATCCTGGAGCACCCTGACCTTCTTTGCTTTCAGGAACTTTGATGTGGAGCCTGAAGTATAAGGAGTGCTTTCCTGCTGAGCAATTTGCCCTAACCTGTGGTTTATAATGTAATGGGCAGCACAAATGTCTTGATACCTCAGGCTGCTTGTTTTGCCATCTACTCTGCAAATCTCTCACATGCCCCCTAACTGAAAGTAACCCCAAACCATGATTTTTCCTTCACCAAACTTGACTGATTTATGTGATAATCTTGGGTCCATGTGGGTTCCAATAGGTCTTCTGCAGTATCTGTGATGATTGGGATGCAGCTCAACAGATGATTCAATCGAAAAAATCTGCCTCCTGCCACTTTTCCAAATGATCAACTAGAAGTCAAGCTATTTGTCGTTCTTACAACTGGGATCGACGACAAAACTTTAGTCAGGTAGTAAACAACCTAGCAATATACATCCCTACCAATACCAACATACATACATACATACATACATACACAAATATCCAAAAATGATAAAAGTGTCAATGTAAACCTACCAATTATACCTATAAATTTAGGTATATTTAAAACCAAATAATAAAAAGCACAAATACACATATAAACACCTACATACAAAAATACCTAAATATCCATATAATAAATTAAAAAGATACTTAAACAAATCTCTAATTAAATACATATCTACTAAAATAAAATAAAAATAAATAAATAAATAATTATAAAATAGCACAATAAATGCAAAAAAATTTGTTTATGTCATAGTTTCAAATACATTTTACAAAAAATACAACAAAATTCCAAATGTAAAAAATAAAATGGCAAAATATGCATGAAATAACATTTGCTTTTGCAATTACGACTTTAAATAAACAGTTAAGAAACGTTTATTTTCCTGACATTTCTAAGTAAGTGTTCTCTGAATAATACAGTCATTAATGAGGCCAGTCTGTTGTTTTTACATATTTAACATTTCACCTTTTCAAAATGTGGTGAGTTACGTTTATAGAAAAAAAAAAACTCTGGCATTTATTAAAATGACAAAAAAGCTGTTTCACCATTACCAGCATCATTAAAATTTTACAATCAACATTCCAACTACAATCAATTACAGTATCATCGCACAGTTTCAGCACCTTATTATATATCCATTAAAAGATGAATCTGATCACATAATGCAAATAAATAAATTAAGTAGAAGAGTTAACTGACCCATTTTGCTGTGTCCGTCCCTCATGAGCGGGTTGATGAGCTGTAGTTTATTTAGCATGTGCTGGTTTATATGCTGAAGCCAGTCATCGTTCACATACAGTCTTCTGAGCAGCTGAATGGTGGACTCCAGCAGAACTGTGGCCCTTGGGCTGCACAGCGGCTCTCCTGGCAGAAGATCACTGGGCATCCCGCGCATCTGCAGGTCACATAGCGCCACCTAAAGGCCAGAGGAGGAACCAGAGGTCATTTGTACAGCTAGATATGGCTATTATTAAGATTTTAAATTAAAAACATTAGATCTGATTTTTCAGTTCGATATATGATAGTTGATTTGTAGAACTGTTTATTTTTAACAAACTTATTTTTAATGGTGTGTACTTTTCATTTAAATAGCATGACGTAAATGTGGGAGTGTATGGTGACCTTTTCTCCTGGGTTACTGCTGTAAAAGAGAACACACGGGTAAAGCTCAGTGGCATCCACTCCTTCAAATGCCAACTTGGGCTCCTGTAAACAAAAACACAGTTAAATCACTACACAAGACCTCTAGTTTGCTCCAAAGAGTTTTATTTCTATTTTTTTTTTTTACTGTTTAGTATTTTTTCCACATTATGTTTTTAATGACTGTTTCTTGCACTAAAATGGTTAATATATTGCCAACTTCTTTTTTTATTATGATTTAACAAACGCTAATATGTTTTAACTAGATTTAACACAATACTAACATAGTTGAACATACTGCTAACATATTTTAACTTGTTTTTAACTAAATGTAACACTTTGGAAGCATGATATAGCATGTTCTAGGACAGTGCCAACATATTTTAACTTTTTGTTTTTGCAAAACGTAACACATTGTAAGCATGTTTTAAAACGCCCTAACACTTTTCTAGTCACTATTTTCTGTGGTAATAAAGCTTAACCTAAAATACTCCTATAAAAAATGTTATCTTTCAATTTGATTGCTGGATTAATTTATAGGATATATGAGCTCTTTCATGAGGATATTTTTATGTCATATAAAGAGTTACATTTAAAGCATAATATCCCTAAAAATGAGGGATGTTTTTAAATATCTGCAGATAAGACATTCCGTTCATACTAGACGTGGCAGTCTCACCTTGAATAGCTCTGATTTCTTTTTGGATAGAAAACTTTTATTTTGCGATACAAAAAACAATAATAAAGCTTGACTTCAATTATTTAAAGGTGCAAATTCACTTCACTTTACATGACAATATTTGAAAATACATTAAATAATCATTAGATAAAATTGTAGTAAAAGACTTGACTTTATAAATATTTATTTCACTGAATCATTAAAGATATTATTTTATTGTATTAATACCTTTAAGGTTAAATAAAAAAAAATGTAATTTTATTAATATGAAAAATAATTAATGTTATATAATTCACATCAATTAAATTTATATTTTTTAATAATCAGTCAGTAGATCAGTCATGCATATTTCTTAAAAAGTTAATGTATTTACATAAACGTCAGAAAAATATATGTAAATAGGACAAATAAATACATTTCTCTTAATCTTAAGTTTAAAAATTTAATAACATTTTTTAAATTCAGATGTGTATCATATTTCAGTATAACACTTGATATATTTACCCATTACGGCTCACATACTGTATATATGTATATAACAGATTTTCAGCATTGTTAATTAAAATGATACAGTAGTTCAGTAAATCAATCTTTTAATTTCAATGTCATGTCATTGAACTAGTTTCTAAATCAAGCACCACTTTGTTTGTCACTAATCATAATCAATATACTGTAAATTGAAGATAGTTTGTAAATCATACTGGTATGTGTTAAATGGTTATTGAATGCATAAAAACACACACTGACCCTGTTGTTCTTGGCGAAGGAGATGGTTCGAGCCTCCATGTCCAGGATGCAGGTGATGGTGTCGCCCTGTGTGAAGGAGGGCAGGGCTCGACCCAGTTCTCCTCCATGATACAGGCTGCCGCTGTAGGCCCTGTACAGCCACATGTCTGTAGTGGTGCGATGGTTGTAGTCTCGGATGGGCCATCGGGACACCCCGATACACGTCCCCTCATTTCCTCTGTTCTCCTTAGTGATATAAAACTAATGTACAAAAGACACAGATTGTAACATTTTTAGACCAATTTTGAGAGGCCTGGCCTCAATGTTTATGATAATTCATGACAGTTTATAGTGTTGCAGGTTTTATCACACAAGTAGCGTGCTTTCAAAATGATTTAACACACTATTATAGTTATAATTGGCTGTATAGGCATAATATAGTTTATCAAAAAGTTAGTGTGTTTCTAGCATGATTTAACACACTGCTTGTATGTTTTTAGCTCTTTGTTAACATGTTTTATCACACAGCTTTTATGCTTTAAAGATGATTATGCAGACTGCTGACATGTTTTAATATGTTACTACCATGTTTTAAAACATTATAAGCAAGTCATTACATGTTTTAGCATGTAACTAAATTTTTTAAAACCATTATGAGCAAGTAATTACAGGTTTAAGCATGTTACTAACATGTTTTAAAACATTGAGCAAGTTATATCATCTTTTAGCATGTTACTAACATGTTTTAAACCCTTATGAGCAAGTTACTACAAGTTTTAGCATGTTACTAACATGTTTTAAAACATGGAGCAAGTTATATCATGTTTTAGCATGTTACTAACATGCTTTAAACCATTTTGAGCAAGTTATTACAGGTTTTAGTATATTACTAACATGTTTAAAACATTATGAGCAAGTTGTTACAGGTTTTAGCATGTTACTAACATGTTTTAAAACATTGAGCAAGTTCTATCATGTTTTGGCATGTTACTAACATGTTTTAAACCATTATGAGCAAGTTATTACAGGTTTTAGCATGTTACTAACATGTTTTAAAACATTGAGCAAGTTCTATCATGTTTTAGCAAGTTACTAAAATGCTTTAAACCATTATGAGCAAGTTATTACATGTTTTACCATGTTACTAACATGTTTTAAACCATTATGAGCACATTATTACAGGTTTTAGCATGTTACTAACATGTTTTAAAACACTGAGCAAGTTTTATCATGTTTTAGCATGTTACTAACATGTTTTAAACCATTATGAGCAAGTTATTACAGGTTTTAGCATGTTACTAACATGTTTTAAACTATTATGAGTAAGTTATTACAGGTTTTAGCATGTTACTTACATGTTTTAAAACATTGAGCAAGTTCTATCATTTTTAGCATGTTACTAACATGTTTTAAACCATTATGAGCAAGGTTTTACAGGTTTCAGCATGTTACTAACATGTTTTAAAACATTGAGCAAGTTCTGTCATGTTTTAGCATGTTGCAAACATGTTTAAAACTCAAATTAGCACTGCTAACAAGTTTAACATGTTTCTAGCATTATTTAGTCTGCTACTAACATGTTTTAACACATTATACGCATGTGCTAATGTTTAGCATGTTGCTAACATCTTCATGACACAATTTAATACTATTGTTAGCACTTTTCCAACTATTCAACACAACATGCATTTTAGCACACTTGAGTAACACGCTGCGAACATGTTTGTAGCACAATTCAACCCACAATGGCCATTTTAACACAATACCAACATTTAAATGTAACATTTAACATGTTAAATACTTATTTAACACACTGCTAGAGTTTTAGCATTGTTATGTTTTTTAGAGTCATTTAGCATACTGTTAACATGTTTTAACACACTATGAGCATGTGCTTACATGTTTTAGCAAGTTGCATAGCTTACCATGTTACAAACATCATGTTTTAACACAGTATGACTAGGAACAATGTAAACTACACCTGTGAATGTATTTTGCATTGGTACCTTCCAGATGAAGCATCCAGATGTGATGGCGGTGGTGGCCAAACCGTATCCTTTTCCACCAGATCCATGAGAAAGAACATTCCCACTCTCCAGAGAACAACAGATCAGTTTATGGGGATCAAAAGAGAAATCACCAATGGGAATACATTCATCTTCACTACCACTGTCCTGGAAAACAGATTAAAATGAAATAAAGCATCAGTAATAATTAAATGGTCACGAAATACCAAAACACATTTGAGCTGTTGACAGTCATATATGCTGCTAAAAACACTATTAGGACACATATATTTCACAAAAAAAGTGAAAATTGGTTGTCTTTGTGTTATTTCGAGCAAATTCGTTCTTCCAGTTTGAAACAAATTTTTGAAGCTGCGTCACGGCGATTAAATACTTGTGTATTCCAGCGTGTAGACTGGCTGTCTGTACCTGGAAGTACTTCATGACGTCTCTGAGTGTGCTGCATTCCTTAATGAGAAAGGCTTGGTTCAAACCAATCAGCACGGTATGCGGAAGTATGCATTGCAACTTTATTAATATGCATGATAGCTTCGAAGACTGTTTGTACCTGTACAGTGTTCAGACGGCAGAGAGACGCCGCGTTGTGCTGCCATAACAAGTGGGAGAAGAAGAATTGTTTGGAGATACGGGTCGTCAGTGTTGCGTTTATTAATGTGCTGTAACAAAGGTTTTTGTTTCCATTTTCCCGCTATGAGAGCTCAGCTGGACTCACGTGTTGATTACAGTGCCTGCAACGCTCGACAAAAATACGTGTCTAAGGAACATTTCTTACCCGAGAACTTTTCGCATCTGGAAATGGTGAAATCCGCATTTGCCGCTCGTCTCTAATAAAGACACGGCTCCAGTTGGTGTTGATTGTCCTGTCTCTACAAATTTGGTAAGTGAGCGATCAGTGCTCTTTCTTTATTCCTTCAGATGGCAAAGTTATAGTTCAAATCGTCAGCATTACTCTTTCAGTGTTTAAAGACAGACCTTAGTCAAATGATTTCTAAGTTACTAAAGTTTACAGAGCGTTAATATCACTACAATATTATAGACTGAAATATCCGCTGTCAATGCTGCTCTCCCGAGCTTAAACATGTAAACACCGCAATTAAACTATTACCGCCGTGTAGGATTTTCACTGCATATTGTGACAGGAATAAAACACATTGCTTTATGATGCTACCTACAGAGTGCATCTTCCGAGAAATGCGGCACTTTTTTTCCTTTCACTCGCCATGCGGTATCAAACATTGCATTAAAAATTCACACTTCAAGCTATTCCTCGAATCAAATATCTCATTTGTAACAAGGGGCATGAATGAAATTCCTGAATGAACGTGCCAACCTGCAGTTAAAGTACACTATTTAATAATTTGCCAAATAATTGGATTACTGATCTCCATGTAAACAGTCACTGTATTTCAGCCCTGTGTCTGTGTTTGTTTTGCCTCGGTGAAAATAAGCGTGTGCCCAAATCAAGACTTCAATTTTTATGCTAATTTTTATGAATTTTTTACTAGAGGTGTGAAAACACAGGTGGGGTTTCGTAGCCCTTTAAAAATATGTATAATTGAGGGAAATGTGCAAACAAAAGACGGGTTTAAATACCTTTTCGGAGCTTTCAGTTCTCTCTTTATCTACAGCTTTTCTCAGAGCGACAGGTTCTTCCCACATGTACGTGGACAAAAGGCTAAATAATTGATCCACGATCTGAAATTAAGCAAATATGAATTGAAACATGCTTTCATTGACGTCAGAACGAATCAAACCAAATGTAAAGTAATGTAAAGTGAACAAAAACTAAAAAGCACTCCCCTTTTTACCTGTTTCATGATGACAGGGTCCGCACAGGCCGGCAGAAGAGCTTCTAGAATGTGGAAGGCCAGCAGCTTTGTCCTCAGATTGTAGAAACGTGGATTTCCCGAGCTGCATTTGTAAGAGATAACCGTCATCAGTGGATCAATCCACTTGACAAATGCAGACACTCTTTTGGCGACCCTTAATGACAAAATACGCCTTAGAAAGACCAGAAAATCAGCAAGCTGGGACTCCACAACCCTGCTGCTGCTACTGCGAACCACATCTGCAACTAAAATAAAAAATAATATTTATATGTCTATTAATAATTCAACACAAAATATAATATATTAAATTCCAAATAAACACAGACAAGGCTGAATCTCGTCTGCTAAGGACTCACTTTCTTGTTTGGGTGTTTCTTCTGGGATGCTCTCCGTAGAGTTCCTCTCAAGCACCTCCTGCTGGTGAACTGCATGTAACAAACCCTGCAGCTGCTCGCTCATCACATCCATGAGAGCCTGAGACACGTCCAGCGGCAAGGCTTCTTCACAGGAACTGGGGAAAACACACACACAGATTGATGCCAACTATTGTGGACAAAACATACACTTAATACACTTTACTGAACATGTACACATGGACATCCCCTATAGCCTATAATATATATCTGCAGGATAACTGTTTATATATAATAAATTTAACTGTTAAAAGCTGTTAGTTACTAGCTAATTCATTGAAATTATTAGTAATTAATAAAGTTATGGTAACTAATACAAACTAATTTGATTGTAATGCAATAATGTGCACCTTTTGTAAAGATGCTTTGAAACAATAATTATTGTGAAAAGCACTATACAAATAAACTTGAACTGACACATTGTTTTACAGGGGCTTCCCATAGAAGTAATCATATTTATACTGTTCAAATGTTTTCAAAATATTTAATTCTAGAAGCTTTATGAGCGGTTTTCTTCATGGGGACCAAAAACATGGTCAAAAATGAATGCTGTTGCTATACAGTACATGAATACACATTCCAACAATGTGATGAAAACAAGGACCCCACACACACACAAGCACACACACTTATATTTTTGGTTTATGATGCATAATGTGTTTTATACTGTAAAAACCGCTTTTTATGTGGACTTACTCCACATCCCTACCCCTAAACCCAACCCTGTGGCAAATCTTGAATATCCATTAAGCCCATTATTAAGTATGATTTTTAAGAATTTTGAATTATGAGGAAACAAAGCATGTCTTCGTAAGCCATGTTAGGGTGCTTTAAACCCATAGATTGATTGTTTTGTTTCGAAACAGGGATTTCAATTGCTACAATGTTTATTTTTGTTCTTGGTGCGGTTCGCTTTTACACTGTAAACTGACCAAAATAGTAAAAGAGCTAAAACAAGTCACGTGCGAGTAAACTCTCCTCACATTGATAAGAGTCTTGTAGATTCTGCTCAGCTGTCATGTGTTGTTATTTTAATTTATGATAATAAGGAATAGGACACTATAAGCGAAAAGGTGCATTTTCATTTTGACACCCACAGACATTGTCACCAAATATAAATCAAAGAGGAAAGACTTTCTCGTATATATAGCCCCTTGTAAATCTATTTATTGAATCAATCCATTTAAAAAAAAAAAAAAAACATTTATAATTAGAATTATGCATTATAGGCTTAAATTAGAGAGAGAAATAACAAATGAACCAAGACTGCAGTCAGATCATGAAGCAGATCAATGTTAAAATAAAAAAATTAAATAAATAAAAAAATTACAAAATAGGCCTACTACAAAATATTATAAGATTAAAATTTGGAAAAGTTATGCGATAGTAATTTCGGTAAATTTTATAATGGATAAACAGCTCTCGTTAATATTTCAGCATGCTTTAAATTCGTGATTGAGATGAAACTGTGTCATATACAGTATACAGTTGAGAATTATTAGCCCCCTTTGAATTTTTATAATTTTTTAAAAATATTTCCCAAATGATGTTTAACAAATCAAAGAAAATGTTCACAGTATGTCTGATAATATATTTTCTTCTGGAGAAAGTCTTATTTGTTTTATCTTGCCTAGAATAAAAGCAGTTTTTAATTTTTTAAATACCAATTTAAGGTCTTAATTATTACCCCTTTAGCTATATATATATTTTTTGATAGTCTAAAGAACCAACCATTGTTATATAATAACTTGCCTAACTACCCTAACCAGCCTAGTTACCCAAATTAACCTAGTAAAGCCTTTAAATGTCACTTTACGCTGTATAGAAGTGTCTTTAAGAATATCTAGTCGGTAACACTTTACAATAAGGTTCATAAGTTAATGCATTTACTAACATGAACTAATCATGAACAATACATGTACAGCATTTAATAATCATAACTGAACATTTACAAATGCATTAGTAACATTCAAGTCCATGTTTGTTAACATTAGTTAATGCACCATGAGTTAACATGAACTTACCATGAACTACTGTATTTTCCTTAACTAACGTTAACTAACATGAACAAATACAGTAGTAAATGTATTGTTCATTGTGTGTTCATGTTAGTAAATGCATTAATTAACATTAACTAATGAACCTTATTGTAAAGTGTGACCATCTAGTCTAATATTATTTACTGTCATCATGGCTAAGATAAAATAAATCAGTTATAAGAAATGAATTATTAAAATTATTATGATTAAATATGTGTTGAAAAAATCTTCTCTCTGTTTAACAGAAATTGGGGAAAAAATAAATAAGCTATCTAATAATTCAGGGGGGCTAATAATTCTGGCTTCAACTGTATATTACTCACTATTTACTTACACTCAAGAGGTTCCAAAACCATGAGTTTATTTATTTTTTTGTTAATTAAAACAAAAAATTGACGCGTTGACGTCCATAAAAGAAAAAAAAATACAATAGGAGTGTGTGTGTGTTTTTTTGTGAAGACAGCCAAAGTGCTTGTTGCTGGATTCTTGTTGTTTCGCATGTGTTAGCATAAAGAAACATGATTATCTAGCAGTTTATAATCTGTATGGTTTTCAGAGCACATCACATGAGGCGTTCTCTCATTCTGTATTCAATCAATTTAACCTGGCGGCAATGGCGAAGATCTGCAGGAGTCTGGCAGCGGCCAGTTTGACGGCTCCACCGAGCTGCATGTGTCCGGACATGGAGGCTGCGAGCCAGCGCTGGTTCACCAGCACACAGGTGTTATCAGTCAGCGTGGACAAGATCTCCAGGACGCCACATTTAATAATCACCACCAGATCCACCGGCTGATAGTGGAAATTCAGAGCAAAGACTGTGGCCAACAGCAGATGCTGATAAGAACCTAAAAAGACACAGACATATGGGAAATCACTATTTAATTAAAACAGGGTTTCTGCAGTTTTCACCAAGTCAAATGTAAGACTTTTTAAGACCAGTATGATTGAAATTTCAGACTTATACAGGACACTAATATATTGTTTCTAATGCCCAAGTTGGTCCAGATTTTTACTTGCACCATCAAAAAATAAATAATGAAATAAATAAAATTAAACCACAGTTATTTCTTAGATACATATTTTAGATATTGTGTCAACCAAGCAAAACCTTTTTAACAGCAAAAACAGTTTTAACACCCTATATGGTCTTTAAATAAATGGAAAACCTTTAAACAAATGATATTGCAATGAGAAATTAAACCATAATACAAGCTAATAAATTAATTGTGCATTATTTATTATTATTATTATTATTGCTGCAGCTTGATTAATAAAAAATTTAAACACATCAGTTTAAACTATATGAAATAAAATACCAAACAGTGAATATTGTATTTTATTTTCAAAATATTACTGTCTCACCATATTTCTAATTATTTAAGAATTATTTATTAAAGCTTTTGTAAACATACAAGCCTCATTTCAAAAACATTTACAAAGTAAAATGTATTTAAACTTTGACCAGTAGCATATTTACAGCAGTTTGTAAAATAGGTACTGTAAAGTTTTTTTTTTAATTAATATTATTAAGATATATTCATATTATTATTATTATTATTATTATTATTATTATTATTATAAATATTATTATTATTATTATTATCATTATTAATAATAATAATACTTATTATTATTATTATTTATTTAATAAAATGCATATTATTAAAAGAAAAACAAATATTAAATGCATAAATTAAAGTAAAATCCATTATTTAATTAGTAAACAAGTTGAATTTATTTAGCACTTTAATTATTTACAAGCATTTTTATAATATGTATAATAGTAAGGTTAAAATGAAGTGGTTTAATAAATAAATAAATATTTGATATTATTTAAATATAAATAAATAAATAAATAAATAAATAAATAAATAAAGCCCAACTTTTAATTATTTTATCTTTATAAAATATTTCCCGAATGATATTTAACAGAGCAAGGAAATTTCCACAGTATGTCTAATTATATTTTTTCTTCTGGAAAAAAGTCTTATTTGTTTAATTTCAGCTTAAATAAAAGCAGCTTTTAATTAAAAAATATATATATTTTAAGGTCAAAATTATTAGCCCCTTAGCTATATATTTTTTTAGATAGTCTACAGAACAAAACATCATTATACAAAAACTTGCCTAACTACCCTAACCTGCCTAGTTAACCTAATTAACCTAGTTAAGCCTTTAAATGTCACTTTAAGCTGTATAGAAGTGTCTTGAAAAATATCTAGTCAAATATTATTTATATATATAGACTGAGAAGCATTACCCACCTGCCTGCTCTCTCTCTAGAGCCACCTTCTGCCTGAGCACACGCACCAGCTGCTGATAGAGCATATGAGCTGCACACTGTAGCTCTCTCTGAACACTGATAGGAGCCGACTGAGTCCCAGCCTGCACACAAACACATTACTTCAATATGAAAACCTGTATCACCCTAAACTATTACATTTATGTCGTTTGTGTTCAAGCAACCATCATCATTTGTATGTCTCACGGTGTAATGATGAATTTTGTTGTTAGGAGCTGCTAAACTGCCGGTAATTGGGGCTCCCAGGCCAAAGCAGCCTGAGAGGAACTGCAGCTGCACCGATTGCAGGAGGCCTGGAAAACGTGGAGGCGCTAGAGAGCTAACACTCTTTTCCTCCATTTCTGACAGGAACGAGGAAATCTGACACAAGGCCTCCAAGCGAACCTGAAAATAAGGTTTAATTCTTATGCACTTTAAATGGTTTTTAATTAATAAATAAATACAGATTTTCTGTTTTACAAAGTCAAATTTAAGACCCATTTAATTTAAAGGAACAATTTTGTAATAAGCTAATTTCACAAGATCCCTAGAGTTCAGTTTTACCTTTTTTTTTTTTATTTATTGAAGTGATCTCTGGGTCTGGCAAGAACCATTTTAGCTTAGCTTAGCTTAGCATTGATTATTGAATCTCATCAGACCATTACCATCTTTCTCAACAAAAAAAAGATGTTAAAGCTTGACTCTTATGTAGTTGCATCATCTTGTTATTTTTGATATGTCTAGGACCATATTCCTTCCCTAACAATTAAGTAATGATATTACGTAATATCATAGCACCTGCTGCAGCCATGGCAGAAAAGTCCTGTTATTATTACGCCAGAATGAGAGTATACTGTAGTTCCTAGCCATTTAAGCCTAGAAGATAGCAATGTTTCATTTTCCGCCAGTCTTAGTACAAAGTGTAACTACAGCAGAGTCAAGCATTAAATAGTAAAAAAAAAATAAAAAATGCTAATGGTCTAATCAGATTCAGTGACTTATGCTAAGCTAAGCTAAAAGTGCTCCAACCAGACACAGAGATCAGTTAAATGGATTAAAATATGGTACACTTCAACTTGTTGAACTCTAGGTGACTTTTAAAATGAGCCTATTTAAAAAAAAAAAATGACATTAAAAATGGAGTGCTGCTTTAAAGACTGAATTTTCAACTATGAGTTTTCCACCTGAGCTCTTTGGTGTTGCTGTGCCATGGCTACGGTAATGGCTTTAGGATCAGCGTGTGTGCCTCCATCCTTGTCCATCAGAGAGGAGGTTCGCAGGAGGCTCCCACAAAGAAAATGGAAGACCTGTGCCAAGATGGGTGTGCCACCTCCGCCTGGGTACAACACGGTGGTAGGACTGATGCACTGGCGCAGTCGTTCCCAAGCATCTTTCATGATGCCCAAAGAGCAAAGAGGAAGACCTAGAGCAGGAAACAAGACTCGTTAACATGAAGCACGAGCTAAATTGTAGTTTATGTGAAGAGTCAGATTATGTGTGTGTGTGGGATCCTGTCTGAGACAGGACTTTGAAAATCATATGTAAAAAGAGTTATAACACAGCTGATCAACAACTGGACTGTGTGTAAGGTCAGATATATGCACTGCTAAAATGTTTTTCGTACTTGGAGTTTTTGTCTCGTTTCTAGTTCAAATATCAGTAAGCATTTTCTATAGAAGTAAAAATTTGTTTTCAGAAACAATAAGTCAACATGAAGTGAGTTTTACATTAAAAGAAGGTACATAATCTGCCAGTGGAGTAGGCAAAATAAACTTATTTCAAACTTAAAACAACATTATTTTAAGAACCCCACTGGCAGATTACTTATCTTGTTTTAAGAAAAACTCACCTAATTTTGACTTATTATTTATAAAAATAAAACAATATTTTTACTTGTCTTGAAAGCGATTCTAGATCTAAGAAATTTGAGATATTTGGACTAGAAACAGGACTAAAACTCTAAAGCCTGGTTTATACTTCTGCGTCAAGTGACCGGCTTAACCCATGGCGCATACAACGCACGTAGCTGTGCATGTATACTTCTGCGCTCTGTCTCTGTTGGTCTGCATTAACACTTCCGAAACGCTAGTTGGCAGTGAGGTGTAAATGTTCCTCTGTGTCGAGTTTCTTCGCTGCTGTTTTGCTTTTCCTGAACACTTCCTGGATGTACAAGTGCCTCAAACTCGGTCATTTTGAGGCAAGAAATGTGCAACAACTTTAACTATGAGGTAAACACAGAACAAAACTTTCCATCCTGAGTTCCTTCACGGGACTCCACACTTGTAAACAATCGCTCGCAGCATTCGCGTGGCTCTCGGTCCCGCCCACACTCGTCAGCGCTACCAAGCCGACCAATCACAGAGCTTGCACCACGCGTCGTTGCGACGTGTAGTTACATTTTTTGAGAGGTGCACGTCAGCGACGCTGACGGCCGCGGCGAAGGGCTATGCGTCAGCGCCGTAGCATAAGCCGGCGTTTGACGCAGAAGTATAAATCAGCCTTAAGAAGAGCATTTGTTCCAGCATGAGATGTTAGTTATGTAAGAAATCATACTGACAAATGGAAAATCAATAGCGTAGAAGTTAAAAACAACCAGGAGATCAGACAGTTGAACTGTGACATAAATCCAATAGTTTAAGATAAGATATGGAAGGTGTAAAACATCACACATTATAAATCATACATGTGAGATCAGGGATGGGATCAGATCAGTTATGTTAGAGCGACTTAATTAATTAGAAAAGTGAGATAAGACGTCAAAATTCTGATGCCTAAAATCTGAACTGCGACAATACTAAAACAAAGATCAAATTAGTTAGGGATCAAATATGTAAGATCAGATTTGTGCGATTAGTTAAATGAAGTAATACAATAAAAAAAATGTAAACAATGTGATCAGACAGTTAATATGAGACATCTAGAATCTGAGCTGTAATCAGAATCAGAATCTTTATTGTCATTGTACAAAATACAATGAAATTTACGCTTGCCCTTCCCCTCAGTGCAGTCCTATTTATCTAAAACAACAACAATAATAAAAAGAGATAAAAAGATAAAATGGCAACAATAATTATCATTAAAGGAGTAACAAAACAATACTAAAAGTGCGTATGATGTGCGTAGAAAGTGTCAAGTGCATTTTCTAGCAGCTTTTTTAATTTAAAAGTAAAAAAATATGGGCCAGAAAGTCATACAATTTAATGTCCAAGCGTATAAAGTGGCAAGTGCATTTCCTAGCAACAAGTTAAAAAGTGAGCAAGATTAAAGAGTTTGGCCAGAAACACCCTCAATTTAATGGCCTTTCATTATTCAAATCAGGCTCATTCTGGAAACGTAGCCGTGCGGACGTTTCTGGAGATTGCAAAATACGTCCCGGAAGGTACGTATTTGTGCAGTTTTTGTTTTCACGAATATGTGAGAGACCGCTGTGTGCGCTTTTTCACGTTTTGAATGCCTCTCGCGAGCGCCCTTCGCAGCCGTGCTGTTCTCACGTAAAGCCGCCAGAGGCTGCTGTTGTGCCACCGTCTGTCCGACTGACTGACTGAACGATTGACTGGGCAGCTGGCCAATCGCCCGACCCACCCTCCTCCTACCCGAAACCCAAGCAACGATTTACAAAAGCCGTCCAAAAAAAAAAAAGCCCTCGTCTGATTTTGACTGCTGTGGCGAGGGGGCAGGGCAGAGAGCCGTGTGAACGGAATGAGACGCTGCGTAAGTGGATGCACCTGTAGCGCACATCGTTCCTCCTCTTAAAGTCCAGAGCTCCTTCCGTGGGATTCGATGCCGGTGCGTGCCACAGGTGTATCCACTTACGCGGCGGCCTCATTCCGTTCCCACGGCTTTTCGGCCCAGCCCCCTCGCCACAACTGCGTTTTCGGATTTCACCGCATTCTCGCCTCGTTATGAACTCGTTCGCTTTATTTTTTGGATTCTGTTTTTTGTCTTACCTGATTTCTAGAAACGCTCTTCCCCGGACTCATACCCGGTCTTCGTGGCTGGCTCCCCTCCGGGCCTCTGCTCTGCCGACGTAACACGACGAACTAACCAGACAAACAGGTTGCGACGGGAAAATCCTCCACACGAAGGTAAGCCGTCAGCCGGTAAGCGCGAAGAGAAGCGGCATTACACCGCCTCGTAGCGTCTCCAGAAACGTCTGCGGGGCTACATTTTCAGAATGAGCTTGGGTTGTCATTATTGCAACACCCCTTGGATATGTACTATTTTTTTTGTCTGTTTGTTTTGGCTTTTATGATCCTATATCGTCTCTCCGAAGATAGCATTTGAAACAGATGGTATGCTAGATGGGACGAGTCCTTCAGGATGCTGCGTGCTTTACTGTAGCTGCTGGCCTTAAACAACTCCTCTAAGGATGAAAGAGTGCAGCCGATGATTTTGTGTGCTGTGTTGAGCCCGACCACTGCAATATCATCTGCAAACTCCAGGATAGAATTACTTAAATGGAAGGGAGTGCAGTCATATGTATAAAGAGTGTACAGTAAGGGACTCAGCACACATCCCTGTTGGAAGCCTGTGCTAAGGCTGAGAGCTGGAGAGACATGGTGCCCTACCTTGCCCCTCTGTGAACGGTTACTAAGGAAATCTTAAATCCAGAGGCAAATGGAGAGAGGGAAGCCGAGATGGTTTAGTTTAGAGACCAGTCTTTTTGGAATTATTGTATTAAATGCAGAGCTAAAATCAATAAAGATAACTGACATAACTGTCTTTATGTTCTAGATGGGTCAGGGAAATGTGAAGGGCTATAGCTATGGCATCCTCTGTTGATCTATTTTCCCTGTATGCAAACTGGTGAGCATGAAATGTGGGAGGAAGTCTTTGGAGGGTGTGACTTCATACCAGCTTCTCAAAACACTTCATCAACCCTGTTGAGGCTACTGGCCGGTAGTTACTTAGACTACTGATGGTGGTCTTTTTTGAGACCGGGATGATGATTGAGGCCTTAACGCCCCATTCAATCTGGGCGTCAGCGTCAACGCTTCCCATTCATGTTGAATGGGTGCCGTCAGGAGTTGCCAAACTGCATTGTGGATCCGTCGGCGCCGCTCCAGATGCGTTGTTTGCTGCAGAAGTTGGGACTAGCTCAACTTTTCAAGTTAAAAAAACGGAAGCGTTAGCCAGTCAGATCCCTGTATGCAAATACACCAGCTAGACAGTGGCCTATTGCTAACTGAATTTCATTGGCTGACGCTGCTATGACGATCGCGTTAGCCCCAACTTCAAACACGCCTTCAGTCAAGTGTTGACGCTGAAGCCCCGTGTGAATGGGGCGTAAGACAAAGTGGGATCATGGCCTGACTAAGGGATAGATTAAATATTTTTGTAAAAACCCCTGTAACACAATTAGGTCCAGCTGCTTTTCTGGGGTTTACTGTTCTCAACACTCTCTTCACTTCCTCCTCCTTTATATATCCATATATATATAGATCCGACACAAAATGCATCACTCACCCATTTTATTCTTGAAAGACCCTGAGGAGCTTTTAGATTGATCTGGTATCTACAAAAGAAAGACAAAACAGACTATCAGATGAGAAAAATTCAACAACATCACCCAAACAGATCGATTCATCAATAACAACACAAATACCTCTCTCTCACTAAATCTTCTCTCAGAGGAGGACTGCAACTCCATCTTTGCACCTAAGGCTTCATAGTAGGCTGGAGATCTGTGGAGTGAGAAAGACTTATCACTTAGGGTGCAAACTCGATTAACTGAGTTTTATTATATTTTGGACTAATTTATTTTTTGGCCAATTTACCATAAGTTTATACAAAAGATCAAAAGAAGCTCAAAAGATCAAAATGCTTGTACGGTGGCTCTGAACTGTCAAAACACTCTCAAAGCAATTTCTCGGATGTGAAAAATGGGGGAAAAAAAAATTTTTTTAAATCGAACTCGGTTTAATTTTTTAATGACAGACAAAAGTTTCAGAGGAAGTGTTTGGGACCATTGATATTTTCTATTTTTACCAAGGATCTTCCTTTGGTTTTAAAGCATGCAAGGGCAGTTATGTATGCAGATGATACAACATTGCATTTACCAACAGCATCGATTGAAAAATCAGCTGATTTAGATGAGGAGTTACAATTAGTGGTAAAGGGGGAACAGAATAATAAGATAGATTTAAAGTTGACAAAAAACAAAAGTATTGTGTTTGGATCAAACTTTTAATTTAAATGTAAACCACAGTTAAATTAGTCTGTAATGAGTGTGCCTATTGAACAGGTAGAGGAAATTAGACTTCTTGAAGTTCTTCTTGATAGTAGGTTAAAGTGGTCTAAACAGATCAATAAAATGGTAATAGTTATGGGAAGAGGTTTAGTAATTATTAAGAGATGTGTTGAATTTTTACCATATAACTGTATTTCTCAAATTGTTCAGGCAATCGTTCTTTCTTATCTAAATTATTGTCCAGTGGTCGAGTGCATCAAGTAAAGACTTAGATAAATTACAGTTAGTTCAGAATAGAGCTGCACGACTAATTTTACACTGCAATAGAAGAGTTATTATTGTGAAAATGCATAGAACTTTAGGTTGGTTATTGGTGAAGGATAGGGTAATTGTTTCTCTGCTGTGTTTCATAAGAAATATTTCTGAGACAAGAGTTCCAAGTGTATTGTACAGTCAACTTTTATATAGTAATGTTAGTCATCATTTTAACACCAGGCATGCATTAAGAGGAATTTTTTTGCTTCCCATTTCAAAAACCACTGTAATGTATAGAGGTATGAAAACATGGAATGAATTGCCATCAGACATTACATGCTTTGTAACAAGTAAAATTAGGTTTAAAAAATTGTTTAAGAAATATTTAATGGAAAAATATTAAGTGGATTGTTGATCTGGATGTTATGTATGAATTTTGTATTTATATTTTTTATTGGTCTTGTTGTTATGAATTAAAGGTGCAGTGGGTGATTGTCTTCAAAAGCATTTTTTGTTTTGCTGGTTGAAAGTCTCTTCACAGTCTAATAGTAATGATTAAAGTAAATAAATTGCATTTTTACATTTTGTGTAAGGCATAAAATTAAAAAAATGTTCATCCAATTAAATAGAGTCGGACCGACATCTCTCATAATTCCAATAAGTAGCCCAATCTGTCTGTCAGCAAATGCAGATCTGAACAACTGCGCAGCCTTTTGTACGCAGCTCTGCAAAAACCTGCTGAATCAAAACTTTTTAAAAACCTAAATCAATATCAAAGGATGACAATGGCTGAAGGATTTCTTTTAGACAGGTAATGTTTTGTTTTAAAACTATTTTAGCTTCACGCAAAGTTGATGTAACGTTAGATGTTGTTGTTACAAATGGGTTATATCTTCACAGAAGTGCTGTTCAGCCACTAAAATCTTCTGATGAAAGATTGATAAGAATATTTTCAGTTTCGTAAGGGACCTTTTACAGCATCGATAAAGTAGATTTTAATTAGTTTAACAACAAAACACAAGTAAACACCGCTATTCCGCCTAGTCTCTCCCTATATTGTTTACCATGCAACTCTAAATATTTGCTCTTAAATAGTATGTCAGTTTGGCTTGCTCGCCGCCAGACAAGCACTAGTCGCTTTTAACACATGAGAGAGGGTTCTTTTACTGTGCTCGTATTTAAAGGGTCACGAAACACCAAAACACATTTTTTGAACTGTTGACAGTCGTACATGTGTCCCACACTGCTAAAAACACTATTAGGACACCTATATTTCACTAAAAAGTGTAAATTGGTTGTTTTTGCGTTATTACAAGCAAATTCGTACTTCCGGTTTGAAACTAATTTTTGAAGCTGCGTCACGGCCATGACATAATAGCGTGTATTCCAGCGTGCAGACTGGACGTCTGTGCCAGAGTGTGTCTTATTACGTCTTACAGTGTGATGCATTAATGCATGAGTAAGACTTGGTTCAAACCAATCAGCGCGCTCTATTGTGCAACTTCATTAATATTCATTACTGTCACCGTGTTTACACGACAGAGACGCCACGTTGTGTTGGGAAAACAAGCGTGAAGTGTTGCATTTATAGTTTGCTGCAGTTAAGTTTCGTTTTCATTTTCTCTCTGTGAGAGCTCATCTGGAGTCACGTGTGGATTAACAGTGTACGCGACGCTTGACAACAATAACTTAACTTACGTGTCTAAGGAGGATTATTGTTTACCTGAGAGCTGTTCTCATCTGCAAACGCTGAGATCCGGATTCGCTTGTAACGTTAGTATTCTTTAGATGCAGGGGAAGGACTGTGATTCAGAGATTTATGTTAAGCTGTTAGCATTGTGGAAGATCACCTACAGCACCTTTAACGTAATTTTGTGTTATGCTTGATGGATCCCAGGAAGAATAGCCACTACCTTGGTAGTGGGTAATGGGGATCCTGATAAATAAAATAAAATAAAATAAAATAAAATAAAATAAAAAGTGTGCCAATAAAGTTCACACAACATAAGGTAAAATGTATTTTTTAAACGTACAAAAACTACAAATGGAAATTTCTGATTCAGTGTGCAATAACCTGAAGTGTGGGCATTATACGTGAAAACATTCAAAGGAATGAAAAGATGGCTGCTGAATGTGAGGAGAAATTAGATATAAATTGTCTTTGCTTTCAGTGAAAAGGGGTTCTTTCAGATTTGGTCCGATTGCATGGTTGGTACCTAAGTGTGATTGAATCACCTGCCCTCGCTGGATTTTGTTTACACGCAGGATTTGAGTTCTGAACCATTTTATGGTTGGTGCATCACCAACACTTTTCAGGTGGACTCAGATCCAGTTCACACTCAAGTTCAGAAAATGTACACATTACCCAAACAAATCAAACTGACATCAAATGAGCAAGGGTGGGCACCAAAAGTGCTAGCATGAAAGCCCCCTAAGATTCATGTCATGCAAATACTTCATAAGTGTACATAAACAAAACCTGGCCAAGCTGCTCTCGGTGGGCGTCTGTGAAGACATGCTCTCCTCCTGCCAGGCGGCTCGGACTCCCAGCAGCAAAAAGAGGCAGCGTGACACTAGCAAGTGACAGGCGGCGGGGAAGGGCAAGCCCTGATCGGAGGTGCTGTGGTGGTCCCAGGGCCGCTGTGAAGGCTCTCGGTCTGGTGTTCCAGGGCTCTCGGTGCTGCTGGGTAATGTGCTGGTGCCAGACGACTCGTACACAGTCTCGTTCTGCTGGAGCTGCATGGCTTCACGAGTGGCCAGAAAACACTGCAGCACTTCTGCGGAGAAGGAAGACATCATGAAACAGTTCACAATGGCACAACGCAACACTAGAGGTGGAGATTTAGAGCAAATAATTCCACATATTAATTTATAACTGTCATGCAAAAAAATGAGAGCTCCAAGTTTCACACATGCACACATTCATTATTAAAATTTGTAGAGTATTATTTGCTGTGGAACAGTATTAAGTGCCTCTATTATGCTGTTTAACGATTAATTGTGACAAATCGCATACAAAATAAAAGTTTGTATTTACATAATGTAGGTACATTATATTGTATATTATTATACTGTGTGTATATGTATAAAAGTAGTCTAGACATGTCAAGAACATGAAGCAAACTCTTCCAAGCTTCAACTACAACTGCAGTTTAAGGGAAAAATTAGATTGTTCACACGCTGTAATTATGTAATAATGTACACGCTGTAGTAATTGTTTTAAGGTCAAAGGCAGTTGTGTAAGCATTTCATTGGGTATGGTAGTGTGTATGACTGTATGTGACAAATAAATTGTTGAAGTTTCTGAAAATCCAGGTATAAACAATTATGCTTTTCATTTCCATTGAACTGCCTTTTACAGTTTAGCGTAGTTTATGCACAGCAACCAGAGAACACCACTCGTTACACCCTTTTCCGAAACACACATTTGTTTCCGAATATATATACATCTTGAATCTTGTTGATTGTCAATGCAAATATTTGCTGCAAAGAATTAACATATCCAATTTTATATTTCATGCAGTTTTTAATTAAACTAGCTAGTTTTTCAGATAAACAACGATGTTCACTTAGCAGGTTTCTTAAAAAATTGCTAACATAATATGGAATTTTTATGCTTTAAAAGAGTCAAAAACTTACATACAACACCTTTAAAGGCTTAACTAGGTTAATTTGGCAAGTTTTTGGGCAAGTTATTGTATAAATATGGTTTGTTTTGTAGACAAGCTAAATAGTGTATTGCTTAAGAGGGTTAATAATATTGACCTTTAAATGGTTTCTGTGAAAATTTTCATTATTTGTGGAATGTTTGTAATATATATATATATATATATATATATATATATATATATATATATATATATATATATATATATATAAAGAAATAAACAGTAATTTAATGCCCTGCTACATTTGTTATTCGTAATTTCATATAAAGATGGCCACAATTTATAACATTGTAAAGATAATTGTGTTCATATAAACACTATAAATGAGAACCTTTCCCTCAATCCCCAGGTCTGAATCATAGGTCTGAATGCAGACTCAGTGCAGCAGGTCTCTTGCCTGACCTGTCTATCTTAACCATTAGCCCTGCTGGTAATCTAAAGGATTTAAGCAAACACAACAGCACGGCGATGTGTCTAAATGTGAACAAACTCCTGATAAAAGACAACATCCGCCATTCTCCAATTCTCGTACTGCTCTTCCGACAGGAATGCTCGCACCACACATACAGCTTTGTTGTATGATCGGCCCTGACAGCATCAAGGGGAAAAAACATGCAAAAAAAAAACATGGATCATCGAAACAAACACATTCGAACCTTCATGAACAGCTAAATACTGTGTGCCGTGGATCCGTGTCTCACAGCTATACACAGTATATACACAGTTAAGGTCAGAATTATTAGCCTCCCTTTGAATTTTTTCTTTTTTTTTTTATATTTCACAAATGATGTTTAACAGAGCAAGGAAATTTTCACAGTATGTCTGATAATATTTTTTCTTCTGGAGAAAGTCTTATTTGTTTTATTTCGGCTAGAATAAAAGCAGTTAAAAAAATTTTAAATACCATTTTAAGGTCAAAATTATTAGCCCCTTTAAGCATTTTTCTCCCATCATTATACAATAACTTGCTTAATTACCCTAACCTGCCAAGTTAACCTAATTAACCTAGTTAAGCCTTTAAAGCTGTCACTTTAAGCTGTATAGAAGTGTCTTGAAAAATATCTAGTCAAATATTATTTAGTGTCATTATGGCAATGAAATTAGAAATAGGTTTTTAAAACTATTATGCTTAGAAATGTGCTGAAACTATTTTTATGCGCTAATTAATTATGCGCTAATAATACAGGGGGGCTAATAATTCTGACTTCAACTGTATACATATATATATATATATATATATATATATGCTTAAAGAGCTTAGAAAGCATTAAAGATATTGAGATACTAAAAACATTAACATAATATTCTGTAAAGCTGCTCTGAAATGTGTCTTTTAAAAGTGCTGTAGAAATCAGAGTTGTCTGTGCATCAGCAGAACACACAGTCGCTCTGTGGGCAAAAACACAGAAAGCAGAGTGTTTACCCGGCAGGTACATACTGCTGATGCTGGGCGTCTCCTCCTCTAAGGGATCGTCCTGGTTGTGTTCGGCTGCTTGAGGCGTCTGACTGCTGAATTCAGCATCTCTTCCCGTCTGCTCTCCTGAACTTCCTGACTCCTGCCTCTCCTCGCTGGGACTCTGAGAGCCTAATGAAGCCTGGACCAGACACAACACAATCAAGAAGGCTGCTTATGTTAGCTAATGTTATTAACATGAGATAAAATATAAATGTTGTTTAAGATAGGGAAAGTTTTTTAGGGAAGTTGTCATGTTGATTTTATAGAAAATTAAGAGACCACGGTAAAAATCTCAGCTTCTTTGGATTTATGATTTACAGTATGTGTTTGAGTAAAACTTAATTTTGTCTTTCAAATTGAAATTGAAAATGTTATTTAGAGCACTTTTATCTTATCTAGAGCAATTTAATTTCATTTATTTGTATTTTATTTCCTTCATTCATTCATTTTCTTGTCGGCTTAGTCCCTTTATTAATCCGGGGTCGCCACACGGGAATGAACTGCCAACTTATCCAGCAAGTTTTTACGCAGCGGATGCCCTTCCAGCTGCAACCCATCTCTGGGAAACATCCACACACACATTCACACACACACACACACACTCATACACTAGGGACAATTTAGCCAACCCAATTCACCTGCACCACATGTCTTTGGACTGTGGGGGAAAACGGAGCACCCGGAGCAAACCCACGCGAACGCAGGGAGAACATGCAAACTCCACAGGGAAACGCCAACTGAGCCGAGGCTCGAACCAGCGACCTTCTTGCTGTGAGGCGACAGCACTACCTACTGCACCACTGCTTCGCCTTGAATTTTATTTAATTTAGAGCAAAATAATAAAAAAAAGTCATTTATTTACAGACAACACAATTCCAATGTTTTAACTTGTTACCCTGTTTTTCAATCAAAACCAATGAAAATGTTTGTTATTTAAACAAATTCTTAATTTCTGGCGATAGAGAAATGGCTCTAAATTACAATATTTGCATTTGAATATTTGGAAAAAATATTATTAGATAATTATATAATTAAACAAAAGTAAAATGTTTTATTTATGATAGAGTTTGAAGGATATTGTGATGCATTTTTTAAAAAGATTTTTTGATAAACGAATATAACTAAGCCTTTATTTGAATAGTTTAATATTTTATGTAATTGTCTTAACTATCATATCCAAATAACTTAAAATTACATTAAGAATAAATCTTACTGATTACAAGATTTTGGACGATAGTGAATACAGTCGAAGTCAGAATTATTAGTCCTCTTGATTTGTTAGGCCGCCTGAATATTTTTCCCCAATTTCTATTTAACGGGGAGAGAAGATTTTTTCAACACATTTTCAAACATAATTTTAATAGCTAATTTCTAACAAGTGATTTATTTTATCTTTGCCGTGATGACAAAACATAATATTTTACTAGATCATTTTTAAGATATTAGTATTCAGCTTAAAGTAACATTTAAAGGCTTAACTAGGTTAATTAGACAAGTCATGAGCTGCGTCTCAAATGGCACACTATACACTCATGCACTATGTACTTATGCACTTACACACTCAACAGCATAGTATATGTATGTAGTGTCGTCCCAAATGGCGCACTAATGGTTTTTTACTAAGCGGAAATTCAAACAGTTTTCTTGATGACGTTTGACGGTTGCCAAATCAGTGAAATAAATGACCAAACTATCAAATGATACCTGCCATGAGTATAACCATCACCATCGGGAGGCGCTATAATCACTCTCGAAGGAAAATTTTGCTTTCACCATCCAAAATAAATAAAGTTATCCAACGTGTGCGCCCGATAGCTCTGCCCCTTTCGCTACGTGAGTAAAACTGCGGTTGTTGAGTGTGTGAAGTGTCCATCATTACACACTTCATTTTACTGGCTGAATGAGTGCATCATCCGGGTAATTAAAGAGCACTTATTATTTTTAGAGTTTTCAGTGTGAACACACTACTTACACTATTTATACTACAAAATGGCATAGAATAGTTCATAAGAATGCGATTTGGGACACAGCTATTGTATAATGGTGGTTTGTTCCATAGACTATCGAAAAACAGAACATTACTTTTGGGGGCTAATAATATTGACCTTAAATGGTTTTTAAAAAAAATAAACTGCTTTTATTCTAGCCACAATAAGGCAAATAAGACTTTCTGCAGAAGAAACAATATTATAGGAAATACTGTGAAAAAAAATGCTTGCTCTGTTAAGCATAATTTGGGAAATATTTAAAAAAAGAAAGCTAAATTCACAAGAGGGCTAATACTTTTGACTTTAACTGTATTTAACAAGACAAATATACACTGGTCAACAATAATTCTGACATTCTTGTTAATTTTATTAGTAATATCAGAAAGCACTGTATATATAATTCAACTGTGACTGTTTTGATGTTGTTGTTTTTTTACCTGTTTGGTGGAAGATGGTGCTTGGGCACTGGTTGTGTTTCCTATGCTCTCTTTATAGGCCATCAGCGTGTTGCGGATTTTATACACCACCTGATATATTTCAATCAGCACCTCGCAGGGCTCATATCTGCAGCCAAACACACACAAAAACATTTAGAACAGACTTTTAAACTATCAATTCGGCCCTCAAAGTTCATCCACAAACATGACTGTCAATTCACTAAACTAGCACTCTAACAAATGAGTCATTCTGGCCGAGGCATTTATCATGTGAGATTTCACACCCTACAGCGAAAACCAACAGAATATGACTCTTTAATAGGGGTGTCAAAATTAATTGTTTCAATTAATCACAGACAATTCGGTATCGGTTAAATAATAATCATAACCGGTTGTAATGTACTGACGTCATTTCCCTCATATGCGCTCTGTCGCGAGGGAGTTGAGCGCGGGTATTTACAACACTTCTGGTGCCAACTGTGCACAATTTCACTGCGTGTGTGTGATTTCTGTACAGTCTTTTACTGACAATTACAGCAGAAGCCCCTATTTCTCTACAACTGAGGGAATGAAAGTACTCCATTTCTCTCTCTCTCTCACTGTTGCCCAATTCACCTGCTGGCTTGACTTTTCCTCTCGGCTGCTGGCGTGATTTTTCCTCCCCTCTTTTTCACTCTCGGCTGTATGCATTCTCGGTGCTGTCTATGTTTGTGTATGTGTGTGTGAATGAGAGACAGTGTGGTGCTGTATGTGTTTGTGTCTGTGTTTATACAGAGAGCTTGTTATAGCCACCCCCCATAATACAACAGTGTGTATGGAAAGCATCGACAATGCACCGTAAAGCACCGAGATATCGAATTGAACCGAATCGATGGCATGATAATAGTAACCGAACCGAACCGTGAGACCAGTATAGGTACACACCTCGACTCTTTAATATCCACATATAGGGCCATTTGTTAAAAATGGAGCATTTATTCATTGAATCTGGGTCAAGTAATTAGAGAGTTCAATACACTATGGCAGAAGTGAGGCGTAGGGAGATCATGGTGTAAAAAGAGATGTAGGTGAAGAGGGAGAAAGTGTGGATTTACTTACTTGTCTTGCCAGTAGGCCTCATGAAGGCCGGAGTGTTTGAGTAAAGCAGCCAAACTACAGCGACAGGCCGTTTCTAACAGAGAGTCGCCCACTGATCCACTACTGTCCCAGTCTGAGGAAAAAACACACACACGGTGAAGGTCGGTATTTAGATTTTACATGACAACAGAGATCATTATGTGACTATGTGGAAAACCTGATACTGATTGGTTGACTGTAAAGTACAGTTTTTACACTGAGATGTTAAGATTGACTGGCGGATGCAAATATATAGAAAGGTACATAAACAGAAACAGAATATATGAATGGATGACAGATGCGTCAATAAATGGTTTGACAGATATTTGGCCACATAACCCATTATGAACCAAAGTTATTAAGTTATAAAAATGCAATAGACTGATGGATGAAAGGGCGGATGAATAGGTGAAAGGGCGGATAGATGGATGGATAAAAAGTGGATAGATGGATGGATGAAAGGGTGGATGGATGGATGGATGGATGGATGGATGAATGGATAAAAGGGAGGATGGATGGAAAAAATGAATGAAAGAGCGGATGAATGGATGGATGGATAAAAGGGCAGATGGATGGATGGATGGATGGATGGATGGATAAAAAGTGGATGATGGATGGATGATAGAAAGGGTGGATGAATGGATGGATGGATGGAAGGGCACATGGATAGATAAAAAGTGGATGAATGGATGGATGGATGGATGGATGGATGGATGGAAATGGTGGATGGATGGATGAATGAAAGGGCAGATGGATGGATAAAAAGTGAATGGATGGATGGATGGATGAATGAATGGATAGAAAGGGCAGATGGATGGATGGAAGGCTGGATGGATGGCTGGATGGAAGGGTGGATGAATGGATGACAGGGCGAATGGATGGATGGATTGGATGGATGGATGAAAGGGTGGATGGATGGATGGATGGATGGATGGATGGATGGATGGATGGAAGGGCGAATGGATGGATGAATGGATGGATGGATACTGATTGGTTGACTGTAGTATTCTGGAGTCAAACATTTTACCGATCACTGAAGTGTTTTACAATGCTGGCAAAACATACACCGTTTTTTCCCTAAACACCTTACACTGTCTTTAGGCTCTTTATTTATTTGTTAGTTAATTAATTCACTCATCTTTCATTAATGTATTGATTCCCTCATTTGTTAATTCATTTATTCCTTTGTTGAGTTTGTTAGTCAGTGTCATTCACTTCCAGTCATGTAAATGTACAAAAATGACATTCCTCAAATTTGTTTGTATCTGTCATCTTGTTTTCATTTTTTTTTTCATTTTAAAAGTGGTATGTGAATATGTTAATTATTGAGCATTATGGTTTAAAAACAAACAAAAAATAGTTTAAACATTAAATCATCAACATTGTATATAAGTAAAATATGTGAAAAAAATATGTGATTTTTTTTTATATAACCACAAAATAAACACAATAGTGCAGCGACGCAACTGACGCAGGTAGGTCACGTGAAAATGACAAATGGTGGATGTAGTACGTCCAAGTTCCATTCATACAACTCACATTCATACTACATAGAAGATACTTTTCTAATGGTCATGTAATAAATTCAAATTCAAATGTACTACCTACTCGAGAAGTATGCGATTTCAGACGCACCTGAGGTGACCAATGAGACATGCATGTAGTGCTGGTGGTCCCTCAGGAACGTGGTTGAAAACAACCGTTTTAACAGATCCTCTCACCTCTAGTGGCTGCGTACTCCTTCATCTTCCTCCAGAGGGCGCTGGCAGGTTCTCTTGGGGAGCCGAGAGCTAGTTCCACCAGCGTTGTGTTTTCTTCTGACAAGCGAAGCTCGGCTAGTCTAACGTCCCCACAACCCATGAAAACAGCCTCAGTCAGCCAACCCATTGCCCAATCTACAAGTCAAGCCAACATAAACATTGATTGATCTATATTCATTCACATTACAATGTAAACAAAAAGCTGCTGCCCCCTGGTGGCATGTCATTACCCAGCTGTTCAAAGTCAATCTCCAGCCCATTTCTCAGAAGTGGGTTACACAGCCAGAACTCTGCAGTCTTCTCCTGGATGGAAGGAGGCGGGCCTTGTAGCATCCCTCCCAGACACCGCCCAATGGCAAGAGCCACAGATCTTTCTAGATCTAAAAGCCACGCCCAATCATCTGATTCTTCCACCACGACTGGCTCAGAGATTTCAGATGGTTCTGCAATGGAAAAAAGAAATGTGGAATCATAGAAGTTGTGTCTATTTCAATACATTTATTCAGTGCATCATTAAAGGGATAGAATATTCTTCCAACATTGTTCCAAAACTATTTAAGTTTCTGTCTTTTGTTGAACACAAATAATGGTATCAGGAAGAATGCCAGATAAAGAAGCTATTGATTTCCATTTTCTGCTCCTACTATGGATGTCATCCTACTTCGGATGTTCCTACTATGGATTGTTCAACAGTAGATAAAGATTTTCATTTCTAGGTGAACTATGCCTTTAAGGTAATGTTTCCAAAGATTGACAGTGTTCAATGCTTACCCTGTAAGTTTCCTTCCAGCTCCATGTCCTCCAGGTGTGCAGTGTTGGGCAGGTAACAGTTGAGCTCATTGAGATGTTCCAGCAGAGTGAGCAGATGAGGAAGGAGAGGTTTGACCACAGCCAATGGCAGCAGAAGGAGAGAGTACATCACCTGACAAAGCAGACTGCCAGCAACTGAACCAAACAGCACCGCTAGAGAGAAACGCACAAACGAGTCAATACACTGGTCTTTTTAAATGAAAGGATTGCTTTATAACGGGATGCAAAGAAGGATTGGTAACATATAACACAAGGACTGGTGGACACATAAACAGATGGATAAATCCACCAATGGATGGATGGAAAGATGGATGGATGGATGGATGAAAGGGCAGATGGATGGATAAAAAGTGGATGGATGGATGGATGGATGGATGGATGGATGGATGAAAGGGCACATTGATAGATAAAAAGTGGATGATGGATGGATGGATAGATGGATGGATTGATTAAAGGGCACATTGATAGATAAAAAGTGGATGATAGATGGATGGATGGATGGATGAAAGGTCAGATGGATGGATAAAAAGTGAATGGATGGATGGATAAATGGATGGATGGATGAAAGGGCGGATGGATGGATGAAAGGGGGGATAGATGGATGGAAGGGTGGATGGATGGATGGATGGATAGAAGGGTGGATGAATGGATGAAAGGGCGAATGGATTGATGGATGGATGGATGGATGGATTGGATGGATTGGATGGATGGATGGATGGATGAAAGGGTGGATGGATGGATAGATGGATTGGATGGATGGATGAAAGGGTGGATGGATGGATGGATGGATGGATGGGTGGATTGATTGGATGGATGGATGAAAGGGTGGGTGGATGGATGGATGGATGGATGGATGGATGGATGGAAGGGTGGATGGATGTATGGAAGGGTGGATGGATGGATGGATGGATGGAGGGAGGGAGGGAGGGAGGGAAGGATGGAAAGTTCAAAGAATGGAAGGATGGATGGATGAAAGGATGGATGGATGGAAAGATGGATGGATGGATGGATGGATCAAAGAATGGAAGGATGGATGGATGGAAAGATGGATAATAGATGGATGGACAGAAAGAGGGATGAAAGGATGGAAAGATCAAAGAATGGAAGGATGGATGGAAGAATGAATGAGTGGATGAATGATGGATGAGTGGATGAATGTAATGATCGAAGAATGAAAGGATGGATGATGGATGGATGGATGGATGGATGGATAGACAGATGGATGGACAGAAAGAGGAATCAAAGGATGGAAAGATCAAAGAATGGAAGGATGGAAGGATGAATGAATGAGTGGATGAATGATGGATGGATGGAAAGATCGAAGAATGGAAGGATGGATGAATGAATAGATGGATGGAAAGATGGAAGTATGAATGGAAGGATAAATGAATGGATAGATGGATGGAAAGATGTAAGGATGGATGGATGGATGGATTGATGGATGGATGGAAGGATGGATGGATGGATGGATGGATGGATGGATGAATGGAAGGAAATGTCAAAGAATGGAAGAATTGATGGATGAATGGATGGATGGAAAGATGGATGATGTATGGATGGATGGAGAGATGAAAGGATGGAAAGATTGAAGAATGGAAGGAAAGATGGATGATGGATGGATGGATGGATGGATGGATGGATGGATGGATGGATGGATGGAAGGAAATGTCAAAGAATGAAAGAATTGATGGATGAATGGATGGGTGGAAAGATGGATGATGCATAGATGGATGGAGAGATGAAAGGGTGGAAATATCAAAGAATGGAAGGATGTATGGATGAATGAAGGAGTGGATGGATAGATGGATGGATGGATGGATGGATGGATGGATGGATGGATTGATGAATGGAAGGATGTAAATATTGTAGAATAAAAGGATGGATGGATGGAAATATGGAAAGATTGAAGAATGGATGGAAAGATGGATGGATGTATGGATGGACAGAGGGATGGAAGGATGAAAATATCAAAGAATGGAAGGATGTATGGATGAATGAATGAATGGATGGATGGATGGATGGATGGATGGATGGATGGATGGATGGAAATATGGAAAGATCTAAGAATGGATGGAAAGATGGATGGATGTATGGATGGACAGAGGAATGGAAGGATGAAAATATCAAAGAATGGAGGAATGGATGGATGGATGGATGAATGAATGGATAGATAAAAAATAGGATTGAGGGATGAATGAACTAATGCTTCAAAAATATTCAACTATTTATGTATCCATTCTTCCATCCATCCATCCAGACAGATGGCATTTAATGTGTGTGTGTGTTCTCACTGTGTAATTTGTTGATAACGTGTTTGTCCAGTGTGCTCTCCTCCAGCAGAATGGTGGATCTCCTAAAGGTCTCAGCAGCGTACGGCAGCAGCAGACACAGGTGTTTATGAAGCAGCAGCACACTGCTGTCATCCTACACAACACACACACACATTTGTTTAAACACTTATTATACAGACTACCTCAATCTCTCAGCTCTGAAACAAGAATTAGCTATTTACACTAAACATGTTCACAAAACAGTTTTCTGTGTTTAAACTTCAGTCTGTAACCCCAGGATTGGCAGCCTGTGGGAGGCATCATATGCAGTGGGTTTTAACAAGACGAGTGTTTTTGTACCTCAGCGCCTGTGTGGATGTAGCAGTGGGCCAGCAGGTGTCTGTGAAGGGCTGACAGTAGGTGGTGGAAGTGGGATGGAGCCTCCGTCTGTTTCTGGGATTGACTGAAACGCTGTTTATCACTGTTCTTCTCCAGTTCCCCAAATGCACGCTCCTGAGTATGCAGCAAGGGAACAAGTTAAGCAAAACAAAAACATGCTTTGAGTTTTAAACTTTGCTCAAAATATATTGTACATATGAAATCAAAACCAACCATATTGATTTTGTTAGCTCACATTGCTAGTTTTGTGGGTAGCAATTCATCTGTCATTAAGAAAAAAAAAATGTGCCCTTCTAATCATTAATTGAAATTAGAAAATGGACCTTTTTTTTAGTTAAATTCTCAGATTGTCTGTCTATAAGACACCTCCTCCTCACCATTAGTGTTGGTTGTTGACAGTTAGATGGGCATGGCCAATTATGTTAGCCACGCCCATCCAACAGTCAACACATCATCTGAAATGCACGTCATCTCTCTCGCATCTGAAATGCCCTACCCCCTTCAAAACGCTTCTCATTTGCTCTTCCTTTTCAGTTGAGATTACATCAAACATTAAATATTATAACTAATATTATAACTATATGACAGCTGTTGAACCAGTAGACTGACTGTATAGAAGCCGATGCTGAGCAGTAAGGTCTTCAGTAGGACTTCAGCCAGGTGAAGGTGGTCTGGAGATTCTGAGTTTGAGCTGACGCTTCCAGTGGGACGGTCAGGGGTTGGTGGCAGCGCCAGACCTGCACTCAACTCCCCAGGAGAGCTGTATCCCAACAGAGATGCCACGTGACTCTGTTCCTGCAGGCTGTTTAGCACCATATCCAGCTGCAGACGCTGAAATAGAATTATTACTGAAAGATTAGGAAAAAAAAAAACTGGGATATACTTTTAAAAGCAAATCAATTGTTTTTTTTATTGCAGATATGTACGCATTTAGTGAGTCCAGTTTGAAAATGTACGGAGTAAAATATTTCTGCTTGGTATGGGCACCGGGGAGTGAGCAATAAAGCTGGGTTCACAGTTTGAAACATTTATATTAATAGTTTGCCCCAGAGAGATTTGTCCTTTTAGCTTTGATCTTTTGAATTTATGGGACAAATGTTCCCATTTTTCCAAAATTTCAATGTCATGCATAAATTAAAAGAGCAACTTGGATGAAATCATAGCTACATATGCCCTGCCAAGTATAATTTTCTGAAGTGCATAATAAATCAGTCACAAAAAAAAAATTAATAAATAAAATTATAACTAATGAGGCCTAGGGCTGCATTTATTTTAATAAAAATAGAAAAAAGCAAAAACTAATAATAAAATAAACATAATTAAAATAATATAATATAATATAATATAATATAATATAATATAATATAATATAATATAATATAATATAATATAATATAATATAATATAATATAATAAAATAAAATAAAATAAAATAAAATAAAATAAAATAAAATAATATAATGTAATGTAATGTAATGTAATGTATTATAATATAATATAATATAATATAATATAATATAATATAATATAATATAATATAATATAATATAATATAATATAATATAATATAATATAATAATTTAGTTT